TTTTTTTTTTGCTTTTTGGGTCACACCCAGTGATGCTAAGGGTACTCCTGGCTCTGCTCTCAGGAATTACTCCTGGTGGTGATTGGGGGACCATATGGGATGCCAGGGATCGAACCCAGGTTGGCCATGTGCAAGACAAAAGCCCTACCCGCTGTACTATTGCTCCAGCCCTTGTCTGTTTTTGCTTGCTGATTTTAACACTGGAAAATCCTGATTTCTTTCTTGAACACATATTTTCTCTCTCTCCCCTCTCATATTTCTAAGTAACTTTAAATAAACACTTTTGCTTTGGGGGCGGGGGGGCTGGAGAGATAATACAGTGGGTAGGTAAGTAGCCGTGCCTTGTGCACGGATGACCCAGTTTTAATCCTGAATCCCCTGAGTACTGCCAGGAGTAATCCCTGCTTGCAGATTCAGGAGAAATCCCAGCCTAGAAGACTCTGGGTGCGACCCAAAAGCTAAAACACTTTTGCTTCAAGGACCAGAGTGATAGTACAGTGGGTAGGGTGCTTCCCTTGCACCCAGCTGACCTTGGTTCAGTCCTCAGCACCACGGAGTGATCCCTGAGTGCAAAGCCAGGAATAAGCCCTGAGCACCGCTGGATGTGCTCCCCATCCCTCAAAAAAGAGAACCAACCCACTATTTGCTTCACTTAAAAAATGAACAGAATATTATATTGAGTCTAGGCATAGGCCTTGATTCAATTTCCAGTATCACATGATCCCATGAGCATCAGTGAGGTGCCCCAGAGTAGCATCAGTCCATATGTTAGCAGAAGTGATCTCTGGGTCCTCTAAGTGCTGTGTGGGAGACCTGAAAGAGCGAAAAAAAAAATGGGGGGGTATATATATTCACTTGGAACTACTGAAAGAGCACAGAGTTATATGAAGAATTGTTAATTTGATAGTATAGCAGGTACTAAATTGTTAATTTGATAGTACAGCTAGTGATAGGACAGCAGGTAGGGCATTTGCTTTGTAAGTAGCCGACTCAGGTTCAATTCCCGCATCCCATATGCTTCCCCAAGCACCACCAGGAGTAATTCCTGAGTGCAGAGTCAGGAGTAACCCCTGAGCATCGCTGTGTGTGACGCACCCCCCCAAAAAATTTAATTCCTTCTCTGTAAGATAACCCTTATATACTGTATGCCCCCAGTTTATTCATCACCTCCGATTGATGTCTTCCCAGTGTTTCATTCCTTCAGAGTCTGCATTACCTGAAAGCAGTCTTTACCCATCAGTTGTTTTCAGCCTATGGTCTTGCCCTTTTATCATGATTATGTCCATCCAGTTTCTTACCTCACACTATCAAAGAAGGGAAGTTGATTGAAAGAGCAAAGTGACCTAGTGACTGGGACAATACTAGAAGGGAATTTTTTTTTTTTAATTAGTGAAACACCATGAGGTACAGTTGCAGACTTACAAACTTTCATTCTTGGGTTTCAGTTATACAATGAGAAATTTTTTTAATTAACTTTTTTATTTTTTTATTATGTAGGAGTAATGCTATTTATTCAGTCATTGATTAAACTGATTGAATTGGGCATGAATTCCACATTATCTATGAGATAGACCATGACAAAGCTGTTCATAATTGGGTTTCAATCATACAGTGATCTGGCCCCCATCCCTCCACCAGTGTACATTTCTCATCATCAGTGTCCTCTGTTTCCCAACCACCATCCCCCAACACACCACCCCACCCCTCACCCCAATTCACTTTCTAGAAGGGAATTGTTTTTACCTTCAGTATTTCTCACTTCCTATGTTGCTCCTCACTTGGTCTTGTTCTCCCCTGATTCTCATCTGGAGGCAAAGAACAAATCTCACAGTCATCTTTGGGCTTGCCCCTTCAGGTATTAAGAGTCACTTCTGCCTTTCCCTGGAGACTTCTTGTGCCTGGGGAAAATTTCTTCAGTGCCTTACAGTTTTTTCTCTTAGGATGGTTCCAAATCCCATTTCCATACTGCACACTGTGCCTTCACTTACCTCCTCCCCTGACTTGTAGTAATCTTAGTGTGATGCTGCTCTCACCTCCTTCTGCTATTTTTTCTTTAAAAAAACAGGGATTTACCACCTTTACTTGCTAATAATTGTTCTGGACGTTGTATGACATTAGCAGTATCAGTGGGTACCAAATGCATAAGAAAAAAATATATACAACAAGATTACTATAATGAAGACTCATTACATTGATTGGATAATCAGATCTCTTGAAGTTCAATTCTCTGCATCCCATAAATTTCCCCCCAAACACCACTAGGAGTAATTAGAGTTCAGAGGCAGGAGTAAGCTCTGAGTACCACCAGGTGTTATCCAAAAGTAGGGATGGGATATGTGTTTGGGGGGGAGGGTGGATTTGGGGAAGGATTTTAAGTCAGGGAAGCAGTAGCTCGTTCTCTTTTTTTGGGGGGGGATTCACACCCAGAGGGGTTACTCTTGGCTTTGCACTCAGGAATCAGTTCTGGCGGTGCTCAGGGGACCATATGGGATGCTGGGAATCAAACCCGGGTCAGCCACGTGCAAGGCAAACGCCCTACCCACTGTGCTATCGCTCCAGTCCCCTTTTTTTTATTATTATTTTTCTTTCTCTCTCTCTCTCTTTTTTTTTTTTTGTGGGGCTGCACTGGGCAATACTTAGGGCTTACTCCTGGCTCTGCACTCAGGAATCACTCCTGTCAGTGTTCTGGGGAACTCTAGGGAATGCTGGGGATTGAACCTGGGTTGGCTGTGTACAAGGCAAGAGCCTTACCCACTGTACTATCTCTCTGGCCCCTGGAAGCAGTGTTTCTTACAGAAATATTTTCTGGGGGCTGGAGAGAGAGCTCAGTAGGTTAAAACTTATGCTTTGAATGCAGGAAACCTGGGTTTGATTTCCCCAGCACTACATATGATCTCCTAAGCACCACCAGGAGTCATTCCCAGGCACTAAACTCAAAGTATTCCCTGAGCACTGTGGGCCATGGTCTAATAACAATTTAAAAAATTTCTGGGAGGGCTGGAGCAATAATACAGTGTGTAAGGTGCTTGTCTTGCATACTACTGACCCAGGTTTGATCCCTGGCACCTCATATGGCCCTCTTGAGCCCAGCAGGAGTGATCCGTGAACAAAAGCCAGGATTAACCCCTGAATACTGATGGGTGTGGCCCCACCCCCCAGAAAAAAAATTCTGGAAAACCTTTTTTTAACTTGGAGCAAGGTTTCATTTTATTCTCTTCTCCTTGCCGCTTCATATCTATATCCTTCAACTTGTATCCTGGGTTGAGGGATGGGCCGGTTTGTTCTGTTCCAAGTCCCACCGGATCTGCTAGGGGAGTCCCAGCCATTGTTAGGGGTCCCCACCACCCTCCTTAGCATGGAAGTTTAGGGAGCTGGCTGTGATTCCTTAACTGAGACCAGAGCCCAGTAGGTTCAGTGGGTCTTTGTACACAGTTCTTGGTCTTGGAAGCTAGAGGGGGATGGAGTCAAAGGCTCTGGTCACAAGCATGACAGACGGGAGGTGTCAGGGGAGACCTGGGGCTTAAGACACTAAGAAGGCTACAGAGGAGTGGCCAGAAAGCAGCATACCAAAGAATGGGCCTGTTGTCTACCGGTGGAGAGGTCCTGCAGGATTCCTGTCCCCAAGAGGAAGTGGTACTAATTTTCCCTTGGGAGCTTGTGGCTTTTGAGGTATCTCCTGCTCAGGTTGGTAGTCTCTTGGCTCAGGAGTCTGATGACAGGCTGCCAGGGGAACCTCCTAACCCAGAGAGGTTGGCTCAGGGAAAGAAGCATGGAGCAATTGACACAGAGTAGAGATGGGCAGGATTTTAGAGATTTCCTTGTGTGAACTGGGGTGGATGAATGGGCTTCCTCACCTGTTGCAAAAGGACAAGTCCTCTGTCCACACCTCTACCCCTAGGCACCAGAAAATCACTGGTCAGGTAGTTCACATGTATGCAGTCCTCAGAGTTGTCACAGTTCCACCCACCTACATCCTAGCCTGACTTTTTGGGGAGTGGTCAGCCACCCAAGTGGTGCGTGGGGCCCATTTCCACTCTCTTGGCCAGCCAACTGAGTCAGTGATTCAATGCTAGGGCTTGAGGATGCACTGTTTGGGCTCTATAGTCTAGAAAACACCCTAGACACCCCAGTGATGCTTGGGAGGCCGTCTAGTGCTGGGATTGAATTTGGCTCAGGCACTGGTAGAACCCCTCCCCTTTTTTTATTTTTTTAAGCTTTTGTCCATACCTGGCAGTGCTGGGGGGCGGGAGGGGTTGTTCCCAGCAGTGCTCGGGCACCAGGCAGTCTCAGGTTCAACCCAGAGCCTCACACATGTATACAAGGCAAGTGTCCTACCACTGCATCAAGTCCCCAGCCCCCATCTCTGCGTTTTAGGAATAATAAAATTTGTTTTGTTTTGGGGCCACACCCAGTGGTTTATGGGGAGGGTGGCTACTCCTGGTTCTGTGTGAACCATGCAGTGCCAAGAATTGAACTCAGCATGCAGTGTCCGAGTTCAACCTTTCATGCCACTTCTCCACCCTGAAAGCTCCGGTGTTAGGAAATAGAGTGCACTGGGGTTCTTAGCAGGTGAGCAGTCATGCTCCAGCTCCCAGAGGTGACCAGAGACTAGCAAGGTCAGACTGTGTGCTAGGGTCAAGCATCTGCTTAGTCATGTCACCTGAGGCCACATCTCCATTAACGCAGATTATTTCCCGTAGTGGATAGCCTCCTTGCTCCCTTTTCTGGAAAGTCCACTCCCTTAAGCCCCCTGGCAGCACAGCCTCAGGGACAGTATCTGCTGGTGTGGGACTTAGCTCAGCCACACCTTTTCTCTGGATTTGGAGGCTGGAGGAAAAGTTAAGTTTACATCTGCCATTGACTTCCTCATTTTCTCAGGAGCTTGGCAGAGAAGTGAGAGAGGCACAAGGATGGCATGAGGCCATCTGGTCCCTTGACCTCCACCCACCAGGCTAGGTCTGTCCCTCCTGTCCTCACTCCCTTGCTTTCTTTTCCAGGAGCCTGGAGAGGCGTGGCTGGACCCAGACCTCCCCCGATGTGAGCCGGTTTCCTCCTCCCCCCACCACCCATTGCTACTGCGCCAGGGAGCGTCCTCAAGCCCTGGCCCTCAGAGGAGAGGTAACAGGAGCCCGGAGCCGAGACCATGTGACGGCGCTGGCCTTCGCCACCGCCGTCCCCCCCACCCTGGCCCCAGGCCTGGCACCATGATGTTCCGAGACCAGGTGGGCATCCTCGCTGGCTGGTTCAAGGGCTGGAATGAATGTGAGCAGACTGTGGCCCTGCTGTCGCTTCTGAAGCGGGTCACCCGTACCCAGGCTCGCTTCCTGCAGCTCTGCCTGGAGCACTCTCTGGCGGACTGCAATGACATCCACCTGCTGGAGTCGGAGGCCAACAGTGCTGGTGAGTCTCCTTTCCCTGGAGATGGGCGCTGCCCAAGGGAGACCTGGAAGAGAACAGAGAATAGATGGCTAGGGACACCAGCCCAGCAGTGGTGCCAGAAATGGGGCTTGGAGGGTTCAGCTTAGCATGGGGCGGGGGGAGCATCCCGACCTCTCAAGCTGTCTTCCTAGGGCTGTGTTGCCAGATAGCCCCAGGCATACAATGGGGAAATTGAGGGGGGGAGGAGGGTTAGGGTTGGGTTAGGCTTAAGGTTAGAGGGGAGTGGTGCATAGTGTTTAGATAGAGGGAGAATTGCCATCCCTTACAAGAGGGAATGTGAGCATTTGTTGATTTGTTTCTCAAGCTCCAGGACAGTGGAGGTAGATAAGAATATTACATCTCACAAATTACCTTACACTGTTTTGTTTGGGTGTGGGATTGGGGCCACACACGGTAGTGCTCAAGGGCTCCTCTCAGCTTGGTGTTTGGGGGATCACTCCTCGAGGTGCTAAGAGGACCAAGGGGGGCCAGGGATTGAACCTGGCCCTTTTAACCAAAAAAAAAAAAAAAGTAAAAGCAGAAACAACTGATTTGTTTCTTGTTTGTTTGTTTTAGAGCCACACACAGTGGTGCTCAGGGGTCACTCCTGGCTCTGCATTCAGGAATTACTGCTGGTTCAGTAATTGGGGCACCTTATGGGATGCTGGAGATCAAACCCAGGTTGATCGTGTGTAAAGTAAAACCCTACCCACTGTACTATGGCTCCCAGAAACAACTTGGGGAGTTTTGAGTTTATACATACTCTTATCTCATGAGTTCACTGAGCACTCAGCACAGCATTGCCTCTGATCAGTGATGTTGCTTTGGGTGGGTGAACCCAGCTTTTCTAGAACCTCTCCCTAGACCCTGATCTGTGGCAGGAGTCAGGACAGAAACTGCATTCCTGAAACATACATTCAGGCACCAATGAAGCCATTCAGGCCTCTGGACAGGTGGGAGAGTTTAAGGCTAGAGGAGAATGGAACATACCTGAAAATTAACAAGGGAGGGAGACCCCAGGGTTCCATGCAGTGTGTGCCTTAATCACACCCAAACCTTCCAACTAGCCAAGCCCTGGCTTTACTTGTCGAGGAAGTGTGGAAGCAACGAGCTTTGGTCTCTCTAGTGAGATTGTCTTGGTTTAACTCCAGTTGCATTTTAACCAAGGAACAGCTATTCTGTGCCTTGGTTTCTTTATTTTTAATATCCCAAGTATTGGGCCAGAGAAATAGTACATGCTTGCACGTGGCCAACCCCAGTTTGATCCCCAGGATCCCATATCATCCCCCAAGCAGTTCCAGGAATAATTCCTGAATGCAGAGCCAGGAATAACCCCTGAGCATCTCTGAGTGTGTCCCCAAATTAAAAAGAAAATCCCCCAAAATAAAATCCCTAGTATTATCTCTTCTAGGGTAAATTCTCAGGATAATGCCTGTAGTAAACGGGTCGTAAGAGGACCTGAGGATGTGGTGTTGCTCAGGCCTGACTGTGCCAGGGCTTACCCAGGCCATCTTGGCAGCACTGGGGACCTCTAGGGCTGCATCTGACAATATTCAGGGACATCATGTGATACATGAAATTGAACCCAGAACTCCCATGTATCAAGTACACATTCTAGAGCTGGAGAGTGAAATAGTACAGAGAGTAGGGTATTTGCCTTGTATGCAGCCAACTGGGTTTGATCTTCAGCACCCCATATGGGCCCCCACCTGAGTATAACCAGGTATGACCCAAAACAAAACCTAGCCCTTTGAGGCCTTGCTCTGGCTCCCCTCAAATGTTTTTATTACTGGTTACACACTTAGTCCTCACAACAACCCCAAAGAGATAGGAACTATTAATATCTTCATTTTATAGGTGGTAAAGGTAAAGGTAAAGGCCCTCCCGTTGATCATCGATTTGCTCGAGCGGGCCCAGTAATGTCTCCATTGGAGACTTTGTTGTTACTGTGTCTGGCATATCGAATACTCTCGGTAGCTTGCCGGGCTCTCCGAGAGGGGCGGAGGAATCGAACTCGGGTCGGCCATGTTGGCTGCGTGCAAGGCAAACGCCCTACCCGCTGTGCTATCGCTCCAGCCCTTATTAGGCTGCTAGGATTGGGATATGGGGTGCTACAGTACTACCTGGCTTCTCTCCTCCTTTGGCCAACCTGTCTTGGTAATGCCTTTATTGTACTAGGTGTTGCTGTACAATCCAGAGAGGTAGTTGTAGAGAAAGTTCTTCAGGCTGGAAGTTGCATTGGCTCAAGTCCCAATCTGGCAGACAGTGAACAGTTAGAACTCACCTGGGCCCAGGAAGGGCACCAGGGTCTATTTTGACCCTCGTTGTGGGAGTCCAAGGTTGTGGTATGACTCTGTCTCCAAAACAGGGACTCATTTGGGGATAGGCCAGTGTCATTCCCACCATCCCATCCTAAGCACAGGTGGGATAAGTGCTGGGTGCCATCTTGGGTACATACATAGCAGAATCACAGAGATGCCAGGTGATTTCTGTATATTATAGTGTTCTCATTTTTGCTTTAGTTTTCAAAGCTTATACGATCAAATCATATGAAAGATGGAAAGTGAAATCTCCCAGACAGCATTTCCAATTTGTGTGTGTTTCTTGGTCTAATCTGTGCATTCATGTTCTCTGTCCAGCTCTTAAGCATTGTAGTTATTTGAGCAGAGGGCCAGAGAAATAGTAGAGAGGATAAGGCACCTGTCTTGCACACAGCGCATCTAGGTTCAATCCCCAGCACCCCGCCTGGTCCCCCAAGCCTGCCAGGAGTGGTTCCTGAGTGTTAAGCCAGGACTAATCTTTGAGCACCACTGGATGTACCCCCCCCCCCAGCAAAACAAATAAAAAACAGAGAGCAAAGCAGAAATACATGGCCATTAGCCAATTTACATTTTTCACTTAGCTTGAAAATCATTCTAGTTCATTGTTTAATCATTAATCATTGGAAGAACGGGGAGTAGTATTACAGAGCCCTTCTTATATACCATGCAGTGCTTTACTTGGGGGATGGGGGGTGCTAGAGATGAATCCCAGGGCCTCATAAAGTAGATCCTGCTGTTCCCACATTGCTCACTGGAAGGGACTGAGCACTTCCCTGGATCATGTGACTGGTTGGCGGTGGAGCTGGAGTTTGACTTTAGAGCTCTTGCCTCCTGTCCAGCAGGCTCTCGTCCCATGGTGGTCTGGTCTTGTTCTTCTAAGCAGTGCTGTCATGGGTGCCTTTAAGCATATCTAGAATACATTCCTAGGATTCTCAGAACTGCTAGTGTGAAGTTTTAAGTGGTTTGTCATTGGGGCTAGGGGCATAGCTCAGTACTAGAGCCCTTATTGCATGTGTGAGGCCTCAGATCTTATCTCTAGTCATCCATGGGCCCTTGGAGCACCCTGATGTATTGTACCAAGAGTAGACCCTGAGCATCACTGAGTGTGACCCTCAAACAAGTAAGTGAATAGGAAAAAAATTTTTTTTTGTTGTGTCTTGTTTCTGGGTCACACCTGGTTCTGCACTCAGGAATTTTTCCTGGTGGTGTTCAGACGACCATATGAATTGCTGGGGATTGAAACCAGGTCAGGTGTGTGCAAGGCAAGTACCTTAACTGCTGTGCTCTTGGCTCCAGCCCCAGATAAAAATTTTAATCAAAATGTTTGGTTTTACTGCATTGCACTTGAAAAACGTGGTATACTTTGTTTTTATTTTTTATTCATGGGAAAGAGGGTTGGGCCATACCCATATGTGTTCAGGAGTGGTGAACCCTAGCTGTGCTGAGGGGACCATATTTGGTGCCAGAGATTCCCCTGCGGTTGGCCGAAGAGTTCGTGTGCCTTAGACACAGTACACTGGTAAGAAAGTCCTGAGGTCCTTCCCAGATGGTTTGCACTGACGTGTTGGGAGTAGCACCTAATCAGGGTGGAGAATTTTTTTGAAATGAATTGACTGATGAGTGAGTCTCTGAATCAGTGATGCCCATGATGCCCAGCCCATGTCGGATAGCGAGAAGATAGCTTAAGAACCGCGGTCCTTCCTCGCAGGCATGGAGGCTCCAGAACTGAGGAGTTGGGTTGCTCCAGGCTGGCCCAGTCTCAAGTAGAGTTGTTCTCCTTCCATCTTTGTGAAGAAGGACACTTCTTCCTGGGCTTGGGGCATCCTCCCATAGTTTCGCCTCCACCTCCTCATTCCCTGGGGTACCCAGCCTGGCAGCACTTCCTAGTCCCCTGGACTCAGAGGTGCCACTAAAAGCCAGATTGCACCCAGACCCACTGAACCAGAATCCTGGGGACAAGCCCCTGGTTTCTTGTGCTGGCAGGCAGTTTGAGAGGTGCTCTGTTGGATGAGTCATTTATCGGGCTGTGACAGTAGGAAGCAGGACACCAGGGAGGTCTAGGACCAATTCTGCCACCAATCCCACTTGGCACCTGGACTAACCACGACCCTATTGGGCCTGAAGATTTGGGATGTGGACAGTGGGGGATTGGTGCTCTGGAGGAATGTATAGAGTCAACCAACATCACAGCCATGGTGCTTACCAGCATATTGTTCTAAAGCAGTAATTCTTAGTATTTTATGGGACAGACTCCCTTCCCTGCCCATTCCCCAAAAAGAATCTGCCCAGCCCCTACATCCAAACCACCTATTAGAGCAGCCAAAGGTTTTTGGATTCTCAGATTGTGAACTGTGAGGCACCTCCTCTCTGTCTCTGTCTTCTCTGTTCACCCCAACAGCCCTGTTCCTCCAGTTCTCCCAGAAAGACTCTGGGTTCATTCAGGTTTGGGTTTGGGGTAGAGCTGGTCTTCCACCCTTCTCCTCCAAAAGGGCAGGGGGTGCCAAGGACTTGACCTGGGTGAGTGGGTTCCACTCTGGGCTGCGTGTCAGAAAAGCCAGGGAGTTTCTAAAACATATCAGCTGCCTGGGTTCCATCCCCAGAGACAGGCAGTTTTTAAGTGACTCTTATGTGCATCCAAGGGACAACTGCTTGTTTGCATTT